CTTTTAAGTCCACCCAGAAATGTATCCACATGACCATAGAAGTTCCTTCTATGTTCCTCTATCTTTCTGTGGGGATGGTTAGTCTTGGTCCACTGTCAAAACCAGAGCTTTGATAATTCCTGGCATTGCTACAAATGTATATGCAGATCTGTCATAAACTGCATCGCCAAATTCAATGATGCTGATTTCTGCTTCGAAATCCAGAGTACAGGGTTTGCTCATTCCATTGCTATCCCCATCAGACAGGCACTAATCAGCGTTTCTCTGCCACCGCCTACTCTGTGAAGTTTTAAGTTAGAAAACATTCGGCCTCCAGAGAGCTTACAGTCTCAGAGAGAAAAGATGGCAAAGAGTGCTCAGGACTCAAATCCAGCAAAGTGGACACTCACCTGCTGGATTCACAGAAGAGTATTTCGGAGCCCATTTCTGTGTCGAGCACTCGGAAATTTAATTTCGGAGATTCCTCCCAGTGCCTTTTGACCTATGTCTTTGGACTCTTGAGTCCTATGTTTAAACAATGTCAAATTCCACAGTGCCAATCGGTTGTGGAAGATACTGAAGCTCTATCTCGATGTGTCACCCCGACACCATGAATTCACCCAGGTGCTCTGCTCTATTAGGAAGAGCATTCTCCTTAGCTTACCCTATGAATGCCTGCTGGTGCTCTACAGCTCAACTCAAATGCCACCTTTCCCATTTAACCACCCACTTCCCTACTCTAAGAGACATCCACCTACTCCCTCTCCTGTATTTTCAAACGCATTGCCATGGATGCATCGCAACAGTAGACTGGTGAAGAGGGAAGGCTCTGGCCCAACAGACCTGATTTCAATCTCAGCATTGTCACTGACATTCCTGTGACCTTGGACAAGTTACATTTCTCCCCGAGTGTCAGTGTCAGTTTCAGTTTCTTCATATGCAAAAAGGGCATCATAATGCAGGACTGTGATTCCTTATCTGCGATCTTTGGGGTCATCTGTATTTTGAAATTCAAATTTTTATGGGAGGGGCGGGGAATTGTCTTTTTCAGGAAGGTATTTCAGCGGAAACACTGATTATTTAACACCCTCAGCAGGGTCTGGGACAGCACTCTGAAATCAAACACATAAATATCCCTGTAGCAAAATATATGAATATTCACACTAAGTGGGATAAAGAAAGTCTATAAATAGCCACCCATCATTTCAGGTCAAGTCTGCTTCTCAAATGAGTTTTGGTGCCAAACTCCCCCCCCAAAAAAACTTTGATTTACAGAGCTTTTTGGAATTTAAAATTACAGATAAGGGATGGTACGCCAAGAGTACCCAACGTTAGGGTTTTGTAAGAACAAATTGAGGAAATATGCCTATGTATTTAGCGCAACACCTGGCTCATGGCAAATACTCAATAACTGTTCCCTGTCATTCTTTTCTAATGCTTTCATTGCAGTATCAGCTTTGTGTTGATCCAGTGTTCTCTTCCCACGGGCTGTGAACCTACAGGTCACTGGCTATAACTACAACTTTTGTGTTCTGGGCATCCAGAGCAGTGTCTAATATAGAATATGTTAGCAGTGAATGAACAACTAAATTAACAAATGCATGGGGAGATGGATGGGGCTCTGTTCACACCATCTTCCATCTAGGAAAATAGTCTTACAGATCCATTATCTGTAATACCTAGATGTGATGGGAATTACTTGCCCCAGTATGGAGAATGATCCAGCCACGTATGATCAAAGGGCACACATTTTGGACAGATACCTACAGCAAGGGGTGCAAGTCTGAACTTGCAACCTAGAGCCAAGGGCTCATTAGACCTAAATGCTAAACAAACAGACTAATCACTTAGTGATTAGCCAGTGTTTTCTTACGTTGCTTGGTATTGTGCGGCTGTAGTCCATGGCTTGGATTAGTCATCTCGGTAACTTCTGGATTCAAGACTGACTGACAATTGACTTGTCAGGCTTTCTTTGTTCTCAGATCAGACAGCTCATTGATCATTCAAGGTATTGTTGAACATTTAGAAGTAAATAAAGAGGTTCGATAGGAACATACATTGTTTCTTTTTATCCAAAGAGTCTGAGATTGAGATCCATACCAAGGAAAAGAAGTAATGTTTATATAATGCACTTGGTAATATTACTCTTTTCTTCTTCTCTTCTGTTTCTCACTACCCATGAAACTATCCAAACTGTTCAGCTCAACTCTGCATGGCCATTCTGGAATTCTTTACATGTCTAGGAGAAACTATCCACCTTGCTATATATTCAACAAGTTTAGACATAAAATGATGGGTTCAGGAGATCCAATATGGTAGTCATTCTGGCTTTCCTAAGGGATGGCGGGTGGGGATCAGTGGTAACTTCTGGAAACAAAAGGCCCTGGTGAGTAACAGCCCTGGAATTAGTAGAAAACAACTCCACTCTCTGTTTTTTGCCAGACAACATGATGCTTCCTTAAAGCCTGTTATGATGCCTGGTCAATTATTTATTTTTTCTTCAACCGAGCGGACTAAAACAGGGCAATGCTAGTATGAATAAAAAAGCGGCACTTGAAAGAATTATGAAACGGAAGTTCTTCTGCCACAGAATTGTTGGCTCTTGAGGTTGGAAAGACCTTGGGAGGAATCTCAAACTCTGATCCAACAGCCCTGTCAAGTGGCCACTACAGCTCTGTTTGCATATCTCCAGTCACAGGGAACTTACTACCGATGATGGAGTACACACACTATTTTGGATCACTTTAATGCCTTGCTGATGACATTATTAAGGTGTGGGTGGCACCTTACACCCCTACAGAAAAGCTCCGGCAACTCTTGAAGAGTTGGTAAAGAAAATACAAGGTCAAGGAATTGGTAAGCAAGCCGATACAACCTGCTGGGATACAGGACAGCTGGTGTCAGAAGCCTCAGCTGGAAGGTGAGTCAGCGTGTGTGTGTGTGTGTGTGTGTGTGTGCGCGCGCGCACGCGTGTGTTACAGTTTTTCTCTCTTGGAGCTGCGTTTCCTCCCCTTGCAAATGTTACTGCAGTGGGGTGATTTGAGTTTCTTGATGCCAATGGGTAAATAACACAGGCTCTCTCAGCAAACCAGAAATGAAGCTAGTCTCTCTCTAGCCATAGCGTTTCAGTGTGTTCCGGGGCAGTGGGAGAGGAAGAAGATGAATATGTCACAGCAGCTGGTCTAGAGGCTCCTCGCTGCACTACTCTCCTGACTTATGGGTAACCAGTTACCAGAAGTGTCACTTGGGAAAACAAAGTATGATAGGGCTGAGATTTGCAAGTAAAATCACTTGTTCCTTCCAAAAATAACTGGATATGTTTCTCAAACACTCTTCAAAGGAGGAAGAAATAGGGCCTCCCCAATTTCTCAGTTGCCCTGTGCGTCTCCTCATCTATCACTGGGGTAATACGTCCAGAGTGGCATTTCGTAATGACAGCAACATTCCAGCAAATCGATAGTTATTTAATTCCCAACAAGCTCTCAAGTCCATTAAGCCTGATTACATTCACCCATTTCAGTGGGTGCCACTATTTTTCCTACACCGGCACTTAATCTATAACAGGAACTTATGAGAACTTTCAAAAGCAATTTCAGCATCAATCAGCATAGAGTGAAGGGCATGATTTGCTTGTAATTATTTATCGGACAGGGCGACAGAGGGTCTGACAAAACTCCAACAGTCGACCTTCACCCCAAGTTTCCAATAGAAGCAAAAGGCGTTCCAGTTTGCCATGGAGTCCTGCTTCAGACTCCATGCGCACCCCATGGGCCTGCTTATGCCAGAAAAGATGGAACAATTTCCATGTTGTGAAGGACCATTCTTCAGACGGTCCACTTACTTCTCACACACCATATAGGAGTTTCCAAACTGAGCAATGGCCATAAATCTAGGATGACAGAATGTTTTGTTAGTATATAGAATCGCCCCTGCATGTCTCAAATCACCAAAGTTCTTACAGTTCACAAGCGCCATGTGGAAAAGGGGAAAAAATGTGTTTGACCAGAACCCTCCCCCAGAAATTTCAATTAACAAGCTAGGGTATGGCAGAATTTTAAAATATAGTGGGGGGGGGGGCAAGAATAAAGGTGAAGGGGCACAGTGAACACAAAAGACATTTAGCTTTCCTTTCCTGTAGAAACACGATTGTAACAGATTTATTACAAAGGGATGGCTGTTCTCAAACAAATAACAAACAACAACCACTTAACCATCTGGGTTTCCCATGATGTTCAGGCTCTGTCACTGACTCAGTGTTAGCTTTCCACAAACTTCAGACACACACCCAGAAGCCAACGCTTGTTTAAAAAGACAAACTTATGGTAAGGGAAAAAAAAAAAGTCCCAAGCATCGTATTGGTAGATGATTCTCCCTGCACAGAATTAATAGCGTTAAAGTAAAACCAACGCACATTTCAATCCTCCACTTTCTTGCCATCATTAAGGTGTAAACCGCTGGTAAGGGATTCCTAGAATAATCTCTGAACTTCATAAATTAACCATCAACAGAGTGTTCCTTTTTGCCTCGATGCCACCCCTCAACCCAGGTTGGGGTGGGGGGGCCTCCGATGAAAACAGACAATCCACATGAAGGCAAACATATGAATTAATGCATATTTCATGATCCTTCTATTTTCTGGGTTAAAGCTCTTAACCGAGTCACCTCATGATAAGTTACTTTGCCTCATGATCTGCTCTGGGAGACTGAGTCCCTCAGAAAGCTGGGAAGGAGAGCAAATCCTTTGCCCCGTGGTCAACCTCCTGAAGCAAAGGCATGAATGTTAAACAGCACCCAGATCAATACAAGCAAATATAGCTCAACTACACCATTTATTCAGCCATGAGAGATGTCAATAGCCAGATTAGGGTGATCCATCTTTTTGATTTCCTACTGTCTTCCCACTGACTACACGAGGGCTTTTTCCTGTATTAAAAGTGTTTGCTTTCTCAACCATAAAAATTCCAATTATTACTCTGAGCACTCTGGAGTTAAGTTGCTTGCTGGCAGTGGCCTTGAATTACCTGGATCAGTCCGGGAAAGTAGGGGGCTGCTGGAACAATCATAGGCACGCCATAGGGATGCAGGAGGACTCCTTGAGAAGGCAACATGCTTTAAGTGAAGGTATTATTCCCTCTGAAGCTCAACACATCAATGGAGAGTTAGGGGAAAATCTATAGACCCAACTTCTTCCGAACTACAAAGCTGAGAGCCAAATCGCTTCTGTCAGGAGCCAAGCACTCATCAACGCGGAGAGGGGAAAGAAAGAAAATCCGCATCAGCAACTCTTAATGTGAAAGTTTTCTTCCCAGACGACGAAGAGACACAGCAGCTGCAGAGTTGAAGCTACCAAAATGGAAGGTGCTATTTTGGGAACGGCTTGCCTAACATGACTAACCAAATACTCTTCATTAATTTAGTTCTCAGAGAGAGTGAGAGAGAGACCAAATGACAGAGAGAGAGGTAGTCAGGCTATGGGATTTGGGCTCTTCCTAATGAATTGGGGCAAAAGGCAAGGGACAGAGTCTGCATGGGATTTTTAGCGAGAAAAACTGAGAATGTAAATTGATACGATTATCAGTTGCCACTTAAAACTCAAGTAGGTTAATGTGGGCAGCCTGCGGTACTGATCAAAAGAAGCTAAGGTGATAGTTTGTGCTTCTCTCTCTCTCTCTTTCTCTCTGGTTTTAATTTTAAAGGGGCAATCTGTGCAAATAATACAATAATCATGCCAGCTAACATTTGCAGAGTGCTATGCACAGAGAGTGAACTAAGTCCTTTACATGGGTCATGTCATTTATTCTCACGACTCCCTGAACTACTTATTGTCAGTTCCAGGCAACGCACACAGGAAAGGGGGCTCACACTGGTTGAATTGTTTGCTCACAGTCAGAGTCTCTGAGCCTTGGTTTCCTCATCTGGAAAACTGAGTAATAACAGACCCTACCTCATAGGGTTGTGTGACAAAGTCCCCGCCATCAGATCCTGTGTACAATACTATAGGCCATCAGCTATTCGTATCTCGTGTTTCCTGTTTTCCTGGCAGTCAGTATGGACACAACTCTGGCTTCAGATCAAAGGTGCAGATACATTCAAATCGTCACTCATCGCCGGAAGGCATGTGGGCCGGTGGAGGAGCTCCCCAATTTTGAGAGCAAGGATGTGAAACAGACAAAGCAAGTCCGCTCAGCTAATGCTGAAAGTCCAGGGATCATTGGAAATCACCTTCAAACCGAACATCCGCTTGCCACATTCCACCTCTAACTCTAAGCAGGACACAGGATATAGATTTTGTAGAAACTCTGAGAGCTTCAGACACCACAAAACATATTCAACTATTGGCTTTTTCTAAATCCAAATGTCAATCCCTCCACTTTTAGATAGCCAAGGTGTTTTTACACTACACTAATTTTAGTTGCTTGATTTAGCTGCATAATTACATTTCTAGATAACGACAGTGGACAGCGTTTGGCAGAGAATTCAATTATTTAAGGCTGAATTTTGGCCATCTTGACAAGGTTTCTCTGTAATTGATTCTTGTGTATCAAAGTAGCCACACTGTTACAATTCAGAAAGCTCCAGTAACAGCTGCAAGTTGACCCCTCTTACTTAACAGCCTGATACTGTTTCTAACTTTAGCTTTTGACTATGACTTTCAACACCGCGCTTCTGAGAAGTTACCAGGGAGGACAGAGGCATCTCCATGAGACAGCTTCCTGGGATGGGAGAGCTATTCATTACTTTGGTAAGGGCTGGGTCAGATTGGATTATGTCTCTTCAGTGTTATAAAATGGAAAGACCATTGGAGGAGGAGGCAGGAAATAATCTGATCGCTAAGGCCAGGAGCTTACACGTTGAGATGCTTAGTTTCCTAAACTACAACAGAGGTAACAATATCCACTTACTCATCACCAAGACTGCTCCAAAGAGCAAAATTCTGGGAGTGTTGTGGAAACTGCAGAGTTACATAAATATGAAGGATCATCGTATTCATTACTATATATATTGTTTTGGCTAAAGAACCTGATGAGTTCAGAGAGAAATCAGAAACCCATAATATACGGGGCATATAGATACACAACTCTACCCTTTGCCGAGGGCATTTTCTTTTTTCCTTTAAAGAACTCCATGTTACAGAAGTTTTTGCTGATCCTGAGTTATGAGTATCCATTTCCTCCTTTCTCTTAAGATAAGGGCTAAGTGTTTTGTGACCCTTTTCATTTTGACTGCCAGGAAGCTCAAAGCCAAATAAGAAGTTCAACTCTGTCCATTGTGTTGGCCTCTACTGCCTGCATATTTGTGTTCTTGTCTCCCTGTCCTCACCACCTCCAGTCCTAACTACTGCTATTCACATTGTCTCTGACTCTGATTGTATATTCATATATTACTGTCATGTATCATCCACAGTAGTTATATTTTTGGAACTGTACAAATTGAATATATCCTTGTTCCAAACCCACCTCAAAAACATCATGAAATAATAAAACATAAAATTTAATGACAACCATTAAACAGAACCTCTTGTTCCAAGCACAGGTTCCGTTTTTCCAAATAGGAAGCACCTAGTATTACTAGATAATAATTCTTTCTTCTTAAATCCGCTTCCTCTGCTAAAAGGCAGACACTGCCTTCTGCTCATTCCTCCTCACCATTGGATAGTGCGCACGACTCATGATAAATGATGGCTATCCAACGTCTAGAGTGTGGTATTAAACTCATGGGCTTTTGTGCAGGAACTTCGAAAATGTAGAATAAAAGAATAAAGTAGAGAACAGAGGAAACAGTGGTGAGGAGACACAGGTAGGCCTCAGAAACACAGAAATCAAGTGAAGGGCCATGCACCAATATTTGCTATGGTCGTCCCGGACAGGAGAGCAAACTTGATTCTATAAATGGGCAGATGATAAATAGCTCAGGTGCTGAGGACCTTAGCTCTCTGCTGTAGCCACTCAAAGCCACAAATGACACATGAAAGCAGTTACAGTACAGAAACAAACACTGAAATTTGAATTTCCTATAATTTTCGCCTGTCATGAGATCTTCCTTTGATTTTTTTCCCTTCTTGAAAAAGTATAAAAATCATTCTAAGTTTGAGGGTCGTAAAAATGGGTAATGGGCTAGGTTTGGCTCACAAACCATGGTTTGTTGACCCCTAATTGAGAGCATGTATTTTAATTAAAGCTCTGAAAGTCAAACTTTAATACAATAGCAAATACATCCTCCTTTTTGGTTGCCCTCGGCTTCTTTACGTACTTCTTGATTTTCCTGTCACTTCCTTGGTGCTAGTTCTGTCACTCTTCCCTATGTCAGGGATTTCCATCAGGAGACTTTTTTATCTTAGCCAGGCTTTGACAGTTCAATCTTACCCCCCTTTCTGGAAAAATAAAAAAAACAAATAGAAAACAAATAAACAATAAACCCCACCTTCCATCTTCTTTCCCCACCTTCCATGATGACGCTCCGTTCTTGGAGACTGCCTTCTCTTCCCCCTTCCTTAGATTAGAGCGGTTCCTCTGTTGAGGTCAGACACCGCATCTCCTTCCCACATCCGAGAGCAAACATGAGGATTATGCTGATTGCCACCAGCCTTTGTGAGTGGCAGCCACCCAAAGTTTAAACACTCATGTAGGAGAAGGAAAGAGAAAAGTAACACAAGTGTTGGCTGGAGGTTGGGAGAGGACAGCACTTAGAGAAGACCAATTGCTGCCATATGGATTCTGTTGGTCAACAGAGCCAACTGTAGCCTCATGGACCAAATCCAGTCTGAGGAGGAGGATGAAGGAGAGGGGAGAAGAATGTTGATGATGACGACGATGATGGTTTGGACGCATTGTGTAAAAGAGAGGTGACATTTTTAAATGGAAGTGTCTCATGTAAAATTTAGATATACAGTATCTCTTGAAAGCCTGCAAGATCTAGAAACTTTGGGCTACATTTCCTGGTACCGACAATCCCTGAAGTCTGGGAAGGATCTGCCTCCTCCATAGCTCAGGAGAATCAGACTCTGTGAGACTATCTCCAGTATTCTTCACCTGCTTCCTGAAAAGAAGCCAAATGTCAGTTGCCACTCGTCGACCAGTGAAACAGAACAAAATAAAAACCATAAAACAGAGTGTGTCTCTGACAATATTAATTGCATTCCCTATCTTTTGGATATTGACAGTGTTTATCTGACCATACGGATCTATGCTGAATATTGAACTACTCATCCCATACCATTTCCAGGCCAAGTTGGGGAAGAGACAGTTTCTTACAGTATTCAAGGCCCTTCATGATAGTCCTCACCTCTAGTTTTCCAGATTCATCCTCTAATACTGCCCTTCCTTCTACGAATCACTTTTTTCCCCCTGCAAATCAGTCTGGCAAGTTGCCTTTGTCATACACTTTTATAGATCCAAGCCTCTGTACAAGCTGGCCTGCTATGCAGAACTATTCGTTCTTCCATCCTTCTCTCCTTCCTTCCAATTCAAACTTGCTGGCCTAATCAAATGTTACGTCTTCTGCAAAGCCTTCCCCATGACAGCAGGCAGAATGAGCTACACCATCACCTATGTTCTAGCATCACCTTAGCAAGGTACAAGAATTCTGTGAAGTGTGACTACTCCTCTGGAAGGTCGACTGGCTCAGATGAAGAAGCCTGCCCATCCTTCTTGTTCAATCAATGACTCTGAAGTGGTGACTAGACAAACAAAGTCTCCCAGAATGCTTCCTGGGAGAATGACTGGCTGAATGGCTGCTTTGGGAACATGTGAGTCAAACAGAGGGGCGCAGGGGTCTCCAGACAACTGAGGGCTACCCGTGTCTCTAAATTTGTCTCAAGTGGCCCTGGGGTATCCTGGCATAGTAGCAAAAGCCTGAGTCTCGAAGTTGGAGAGGCTGGGGGTTGGGATGTTGGATCTGACCTAGGGTAAGATCCTCAGTCCTGAGCCCTAGTCTCCTTGGAGGTGAAGTGACCCAACATCTGTAGCTCCTCACAGGCAGGCTGCTGCCAAGAAATGACTGGTTGTGCATGTGTGTTCCTGGCACTTGGAAGGTGTTCACAAAGGTTTGGTGTGTTTTTATTTTTTATTTTTTTTCCTCAGAAGATCTTTAGTGTACCTGTGTGAAATTG